GCACAGTTGTACGCGTTGTGTGTATGAGTTCAGGGACGAATTAATATCTCGAGCAATTAGCTGAAATTGAAAATGTTTTTCGCATTTCTCGCCGGATGCTTCTTCTTGCAATGTTGCTATGACAGTCGTTGCTAATCGAGCGAAGAGAGAAATTATTGTAATTTTCTTGCAGCAAGTTTTTTTTTGCATTCTCGGTTAAGTGCAACAGTTCGAAATCGATAACGGTAGATCAGGTGAAATGGAAAAAATTGCGCGAGCCGTAAAAGGGAGAAAGTTGGGCGCGTCGCGTGGTCAAGTGTACGATTCACAAATGTATTATGCATAATAGTCGCGTTGATTTGTTAACAATCAACGAAAGTAATTTTCGAGTCAACTTGCTTCTCTCGTTCCCGTTCCCTTTCCACGGCACCGCGACACCACGGCACATCGTTTCGGCCGTGCACAATTTCTTGCGTATCTTTTCTCGAAAAATCCACTGCGCGGAATGAGAAAAGGGTCAATTTCCCGAGCGAAAAATCGCTCCGTTTGCACGCCTCCGTGAAAAATCCATCGACGGAAGTAGAAAACGATGCCGTAAGGTCGTCTCGAAACGAGAGCCGTTTGGCGTGCACCTTTTACATTCGCCAGTGAGCTCCATTTTCGTCGACTCTCGAGTCCGTCGTCGTCGAATGAGACAGCGCGTTGTTGCCCTCTCAAGCGTACACGACAATGCAAAAGAAGCTCGCGACAGTTTCATTCGAAACTTTATGTAACGTTCCTTTCCTCGGCGCGGGGGACACGTATATGCATGAAACTCATATATCTGTCGAGCGCGTGGTGCGTCTGCTATGGCAAAGTGATTTGGAGCGGCACGCATAGTCGGCACGACGAAAATAAGAGCCATCGTCGCGGCTCTTTATCAATGATCCCTTTCCAGCCGCGCCAGACCCTTCTCGTTGTCGCAAGATTACACCGTGGATCTGTTCCGTTTGCCGGAGCCCTGGCGCGAGAGTAGCTGCCGCTCTCCTCGTACTACACCGCGAGTCCCATTGCTCGCTGCCGCGCCATCGACGGAAAACCATGAAACGTAGCAAGTTGCTCGTCGCTCTCGTCGTTGCCAAGTCGCCGATTATTCCTGCGAACGAACGCGCCTCAAACTCGGACGGTCAAGCGGCTGTTCGCGGCGAGGTATTTCGTGCTGCATTTTAAATTGAATTAGCATAGGCGTGCAAAGTCACGGTGCATTCTTTCGCCTTGCGCGCGCGCGTTCGGCTCACAATGCATCGCATACGTATAAGACTATGCCGTTGTCGTATCAGCCGCTCGAACTCGCGGGGCTACAATCAAGCGCTCGCGCGCGGACAGCGAGATTGCGAAAGCGGCCGAGCGCTCGTGCCTTGGAATGCTCGTTCGATAGCCGAATTGCACGCACCGGCAACTCGAGGCAAACAATGAAAAAACAACATAGACAAAAAAAGCGCAACGCTCGATCGCACGCGCGCTGGGTGGCCGAGCGACTCGCGCGCGGCGGCTCCTCGCAATCGGTCGAACGGCGCGTTACGGCGCGTCTCGGGCTTGCCGCACGCACGTGCGACAGTCGCGGCGGCGGCGGCGGCGACGGCGACGGCCGAATGTCGCGCTGCTTGCCCTCCACGCAGAAATGCAGATTTCGCAGCGGCGCCGACGATGATCCATCACTTTCGAGTTTGTCGCTCGGATTGAAGGTTGTTTGCGCCCAAGTTTGAGCGCCGCGTGCTGAGCGTAACTTTTGATTGCAAGTTGGTCGGTAACCGAGGATGGCGGTGTCGCCACGCTAATTTTCGTAGCGTTAGGCCGACGGATCGAGACCGGAGCGCGGCAGTTGGTAAATAAAGCTGTTACATTCTAATCGCGTCGATTCGAGAGCGTGCGCGCGGCGTTGTGTTAATGGACGGTCGTTATCTTGATTTCACTAACTTGTTCTCTCTTGCGTCCGAGCAGCGCTAAAAGAACAAGCGAACGTGCTTCGCCGTAAAACAATCCGATGCGCGAATTTCACGGGAGAGCTTGAATCTAAATTAATTAAAAGCCGCGGAGAATTTCGAGCTCTCGCTCGTTTTTTCGTCGCTGTTTAACGAATTTCCTGCCAGCCGCGTGATTGCGAGGCAGCAGCTGGCGTCGAGCCGCGCGTGTGCGCCGCACGCAAGCGCATCGACTCGCTCGCTCGTGCTTTTTTCCGCGCGCGCGCGTAGCCAGCCAGAAAGGCAGTCGCTCTCTCGCGAAATTCGACGCGATTTATTGACCCTCTTTCGCTCTTGATGCGCCGTGATTTAAGGATGTGCGCTCTTTTTAGCGAAGGAGAAAAATTAATTTATCGGCGCTTCCAATTCCAAGTTTAGCCCGCGCGAGTCGTTGACGATCTTTTAGTCGCGCGCTCCGCACGGCACAGCGCGGGCGAAACTGAATTCGGTGTATAATCGAAATTGAGCCAGCCCGACAGGTTTGTATAGGAAGAGAACCCGAGTGAGCGATGGCTTCACTTGCTTCGTCGAGAGAGCATGTTTGATCTATGCTTCGGCCCATCGAGCGCGTGTGACTCGGTTCATCCACGCGGATGGATCAGCGAATTCCGCTCGGGCATCATTTTTCGGCCGAATGAAAAAATAAATAAAGCGCCGCGACCGTCGATTTCTCAACGAGCTATCGGCCGTCACAGCGCAACCGCGCGCGCGCTCGCGCACCTCAAAATACACAAGGCATTGCGCCGTGGCGTTGAACGATTTTCCAGGTCGACGACCACTCACGCGATATCGTATTAAGAGATGAGCCAGCGGCCTCTCAATCTTAGCCGGGAGATAAATAAAAACGTATACGCGTGCATAACTGTGTTTCACGAAAACCCGTTTTCTTTTTGTCCAGCTGTCAGAGTCGAGGGGAGAGGCTCCTGAACAGCCGATAAATATCGCATTATCTGCCTTTTCACGGTGATTTCTCTCTCTCTCTTTCTCTCTCACTCTTGAAGAGTGAAAAGCCATAGAGAGCTGTGGCAGCTTGAAAAGCCGAAAAGGAGAAAATGTCGCTGGGCGCACGCACACAAAGCGTTTCAATCCCCCGGCGTGCGCGCGCCTCGTCGTGTGTGTGCGCGAGCTTCCCTGAAGCTTCCTACCTACCTGCGAAAAGAGAGGCTTTTCCGTGCCGTGTGCGCGCGAGCGGATGTTGAGCCCGCGAGGAGGGAGAAAGAGAGAGAGAGGGAGAGATGCCTAATTATTTTCTAATGAGCACGCAGCAGCTCGGTGCTGCGCGCGCGTAGGCCATGGCTTTTCATTCGAAATGCGCAAAGGAGGGGAGTTTTTTTTCTTGTTTTTCTGCTTTACCTCCCTCGCGAGCTCGCTCCAGAGAGTACATCGTTTAACATTAATGCTGCGCGTTTTTTTGTTTCCTTTTTTTTTTGGTACACTTTGACACTCTCTTCTGTTTTTGCATTACATTGTGCGTTTATCCCTCAATTATTCACGGTAGACATAGCGGCTTTATGTGAATTTCGTCCGGTGTGAATTGGCGACGCTTGTTACTACCAATTTAACGCTCGAGGATTGTAAACTTTCTTGCTGTATCGTGCACGAATGACATTTGTAAACGCATTTCAAAAGTCATTTGAACTTTTGTATGTTCGAACACGGTGATGTAAATCTAGAGCAGGGTGCATAGAAAAGTGGAAAGATTGACTCGCGTCAATGGTTTCCCGTTAGGTATGCAAGTGTGACTGGTGTTCCGCACCATCGTGAATTTTGGACAGCCACTGCTGCTATAGTTTTTCATCACGAAAGTTTTCAATGAAGCGATCAAAAGAGTGATCGCGTCGCGATGACACGTCAATGCGTTTTCGCGACAGACGTCAATGGCTATATCGGGCGCGCACGCTGCAATGAAAATTATCCACACTGAAGCCACACGCGCGTCGAGTGGCTGGCAGCCGCTAGCCGGCCGAAAAGTCTCTGCGTCTCTGCGCGTGCAGACGCGACTCGTTGCACGACGACCGCCGATGTCAAAAGAGCGAGTCGGCGAGCGCGCAAAGGCGCGAACGGCTCTCTCCCGGCCCCCTCCTGTCCCCCTCCTGTCCCTGCCCTTCTCGCCCTCTCTCACTCTGTTCTTTTTCATTCCCCCGATTTTCCGAGAGCCTCCACCGTGGGAGTGCTGACGCGACAAACGTTTTCACACAGCCGTCGGCTGCTTCCGCTAATTTTGCGGCACAGCGCCGACCTGCTGCCCAAAGCGTACAGACTCGAGCCGCTCGAGCCGTGGACTCTCGATGCGCCCACGTCTTGGCTAGCTAACGTAAAACGCGCGTGGAGTGTGACGATTGCGCTGCTCGCGGACGTACGAGGCGGTGGTATGCGGAGATGCCGCCCTCGTCGAGATTTTTAGGGGAGAGAGGAGGAAAGAGAGAGTAAGAGAGAGAGAGAGAGAGAGAGAGAGAGAGAGAGTTCTCGAAACGCCCCGGTGACTCATCCGCGATCCGCGTGTATTTTTTCAAAGCCGTGCACGAGCCAGCTCGTGTGTGCGCGAGCGTCATGCTGCAAACGAGAGACGATACGTGCAACAGGTGGCAGAGATTCCCTCCGTCTCTCTCTAACTCTTACACGCGTGGACTTTAGCGCCTGACAAATCTGCCGGAATGATTCATTGGTTTTCACACCCCTCCTCCCTCCCACTTCTTGCGCTTGTTTCCTTTCGGTACGAAATTCCTCGATAAGGGAGGGACGTTCGCGCGGCTGGTTAACGAGACGCGCCGCGCAGCGTGTTCGCTGACGTATTCTAGACGAACAGCGAGAGTGCGACGAGCGGCGATCGACCGACTATCGACGTCAACGAACGCTTTGAACTCTCTCTCTCTCTCTCTCTCTCTCTCCGTGGACAGCGGGGTTATCATTCGTTTCGCGCATAAAGAGAGCACTCCGTGACCTCGACGCTCGCAGTCCGAGACGCGCGCGCCGCGGGCACAAGCCAAATCACCGCGGCCATTAATTGTGGGATTTTCGCAGCAGCGAGCGAGCAGCGCTGCCAGCAGAGCTGCCGGCCAAGATGAAGGTGCAAGGGCCGGCGCAGGAATTACTGAAGCCGCTGCAGCTGCCGCAGAGAACGCTGACGGGGCCGGGACCGAGCAATTGTTCGCCGCGGGTGCTCCGGGCGCTCCAACAGCAAGTCCTGGGTCACATGCATCCCGAGATCTTTCAGGTAAAGTCTCCCTCCTCTTGGAGAGCCGTCTCGCCGTTGCGTAATTCGACTTGCAGCTTCCGGTTTGTCCCTGACTTATTGTCGAGCCCCGAGGCCTATCTATCGCGGACTCCGCTCAATTGGAATTAAGTTTGCACTTGGAATAACTTGTAATGAGAATCGTCGCGATTATTCGGTCGTTCGCGGCTGTCCGGGGCGGACCGGCGCAGCCTCGGTCGAGCACGACAATGACAGTGGCGCTCGTCTGTCCGCAGCTGATGGACGAGATAAAGGCCGGGCTGCGCTACGCCTTCCAAACCAGCAACAGGCTCACCTTGGCCGTGAGCGCGTCCGGGCACGCGGGCATGGAGGCGGCGATCGGCAACGTGCTCGAGCGCGGCCAGACGATCCTCGTGGCCAAGGCCGGGCTGTGGGGCGAGCGCGCCGCCGACGTGGCCGCGCGCCTCGGCCTACGAGTGAGTATCGTCGTGCGCGAGTGTGCAACGCCTCGGGGCCGCGTTTCAGCTCTTGAGCCGCCTGCTCTGTGCTCGCAGGTGGGCTTTCTGGAGATCGAGCCGGGAGTCGCCTTCGGGCTGTCGGAGCTGGAGGCAGCCGTAAAGAAGCATCAGCCGGCAGCCGTGTTCGTGGCTCACTCCGAGTCGTCGACCGGCTTGAAACAACCCCTCGAAGGGATCGCCGACGTCGTTCACAAGTAAGTTCGGCCGGCTCGCCGAAAAGGGGCATCTTCCGTTGCTCCCTTCCCGTGCTCGTGCTCTCCCATCCTCTCGTTTTCTTTTATTCCTTTGCCGTTATTTATGTGGCCTTAGCCCTTTCCTCGGGATCAGCAGCAGCCTCCGCTGCGGCGCGCTATTGCTTTCCGCCGCGTTGCCATTGGCGGCTTGTTTATCGTCACCGCTGCTCGTCGATATTTTTCCGATGTGAAGTACGTCCCCTTGATAGCGTTCCTTCGCTAATTCTTACAAGCGTTGCTCGGTCGCTTGTACTTGGCCATTAATCAGCACTCGCTCCGACTGCCGATCGTCCCCGAAGCGATCCGAAGGAAAGTCATGAGATTTTTCGTTGTCCTCGCAACAGATACGGAGGATTGCTGATCGTCGACACAGTGGCATCGCTGGGCGCCGAGCCGTTTTTCGCCGACGCCTGGGGCGTCGACGTCGTCTACTCGGGCAGCCAGAAGGTGCTCGGCGCACCAGCCGGCATCACTCCCATCAGCTTCAGCCCCAAGGCCGAGTAAGTGTTATTAAACATATTGCATTTGCATCGAGCGATTGCTAATCAACACTCGCGCGCATACTTTCAACGTCGAGAGCGCTGATTGAAAATTTTCCCCGAGAGAGAGGGAGAGAGAGAGAGAGAGAGGTTATTCGATAATAATGAAATTCAGAGGCACGAGAGATTGTTAACGTCGGGTGTACGGGCGAGAACTGCAAATCCGCGCGGATCTTGTAGAAAATTACGACTATACTCTCGTACATTGGGCTCTCGATACCGGCGAACGAGAGAGAGAGAGAGAGAGAGAGAGAGAGAGAGAGAGAGAGAGAGAGAGAGAGAGAGAGAGAGAGAGAGAGAGGGAGAGAGAGAGTGAGCGCCCGCGCATAATTCTAGGCGGATGGGATGAGCGTAGAGCGCGCGGGAACCGAGAGCAATTCGCCCGCCGATAATGAAAAGTCGACCGATCGGGCTTGCCGCTCGTGACGCCATACGCAAGAAATAACGAGGCGCACGGAGGCTCAAAGGCGCGAAAGAGATTCCGCGCGCGGCCCGCTCGAAATATCAATTGGCGTCGCGCGCCGTGAGTCACGAGTGCAAAAGCCGCGACGTCGTACCGGCCGGGCTCGCGCCGCCCGCCGCCCGCCGCCCGCCGCCCGCGAACTTTTCCGCTTGCGCGGCCACGAGCCCAATACATTGTTTTTCTATCTCTCTCTTCCCCCGCGAATGCGCGTCGAGAGTTGTTTCGCGGACCGCTCTCGTGCCTCTCGAAAGTTTTGGCTTTCCCAACGGCGGAAGTAACGAGCAGCTTGTATGCTGCACGAGAGCGTGTGTGCAATTGGACCGATTTGTTGCGGTTTGGGCTTCTGTTGGCACTGCGGCGAGGGTCGTTTCGCAAGCCAAGTTCGTAGCGCGCACAGCGACTTTTTTGGCTGCCGTTTGCTCCCCCCCCCCCTCTCCCCCTCCCGCGGAATTAATGCAGTTGCGCTCGTTGCAGGCACAAAATACTGAACCGCAAGAGTCCGATTCCGGTGTTCTACTGGGACATGACGTGGCTCGGCAGATATTGGAATTGCTTCGAGAATCAGGGTCCACGACCCTATCACCACACGATCAGCGCGACTTTGGTTTACGGACTTCGCGAGGCACTTGCTCAGCTGGCTGAGGAGGGTCTTGTCAATTGCTGGGCGCGTCACGCCTCCGTCACTGACAAATTCCACGATGGTCTCATTAAGCGCGGCTACCGATTCTTCGTCAAGGATCCCGACCATCGACTCAAAACTGTCAGCGCCATTGTCCTTCCCGAGGATGTTGAAGCGCCACTTGTTATTCGTTACGCTATGCAAAAGTAAGACTCGTACCGCTTCGTCGTCTTCCTTTACGGCATTATGACTTTGCAATGCAACATCTCTCGATTCGAAGCGTTGCAACGATCGTTTTTCATAATGCAAATGTTAAATTGTCAACTTACAGCTCCGCGACGTGACCGGGATTCATTTATTTTCATCAGTTGTGATGTCGAATAAAAACCGCCGATAATCGGACTCCTCATAATTAAGTCTTCCTGAGTAAGCTAACAATCTTACATATTTTATACAAACTTTGAAAATAGATTCAACGGGAAATCACGAAAATAGACTTATTCGGTTACAATGTAAAGCTATAATTAATGAATTCGAATGTCGTCGCATTGCGCACAAAGATCGATCTTTAACATTATCGCTCCGCAAAGGATGTCGATTGTCGGCTCGAATGTTTATCGCATGACTAACGCATTTATTTTGAAAGTCCACTCAGACTGATTGGCGTCGAATGGATTTCCTCTTATGGATAATAATTATTATTGACTACGTGACGAGTTTTCAAAATGCCGTTCATTGCTAAGCAAACATTGCGCCTTGAAATTTAAACAGCGTCCACTTCGCGGAGCTTTTACAACTGCGCTATAACGTTGTGAATGAGAAAATTTGCAAAGTCGTCTCGTGAATATCAACGCCAAAGTCAACGAATGCTGATGCGACGAGGCGAAAAAATTAATATAAGACAATTGAGCGGAATAACAATTGGTTGGTTACTTGTTTGCAGATATAACGTGGAAATCAGCGGAGGGCTGGGACCCACGGTCGGAAAAGTCATTCGTATCGGTTTGATGGGAGTCAACGCCACGCCAGGACACGTGGACTTGGTGTTGCGCGCGCTCGACGAAGCGATCAAACACGCAAAACAACACTTACGTTCGCACATTTAACCGCAGTTCCTTTAGTTTCATGGTCTTTCGAGATTCCAAAATAACATTGCTTAGACTTAACACCGTTGTTCCCTTTGAAACGCTTTAACCGATAATTAAAACACAACTTCGGTAGTCATATTTATTTTAGTCAAATTTTTATTTATACGAGTATTTAAATTTGTTAATGTGAATACAACTAAAGATATATATAGTCATTCAGAGCAAAGAGTTTTTTTTTTTGTTAATCAATAAAATACTCAATAATGAATTCAAAGTTTTTTTAGTTTCCCTATGAAATTCATTATTGAATTTTTTAGTTTATTTTTATTGAATGAATATCACTTAAAATGGACGGATTTCCATTGCAGACTATATGTACCATAATGAACTTATTTTTGTAGACATTTTAAGGCTATTAAGTATTAAGATGAAACTACTGTAATGCACAAAGTTGATTCCTAAGAAATCTGACCAACGATAAACTTACAAACTTAATTATATTTTCACTCTTGAACAATTGTACTTTTATTTATTACATCTGTTAATTATCAAATGTCATTATAAGTAGGCTTACTTTACAGTTACGAATAAACTCGATTTCAAAACATACTTTATTGTTTCTTTTAATATTTCCATTTATTTTCATTTATCAAGTAGCTATCATTTAAAAATTTATCGCTTTAATTTTTAGAATGTAAGTATTGTTTTTAGGATTCTGCGGCAACGTGCATGAAGCTCCCTTGTTATCATAGTCGTGAAAGTGACACTGAGTTAGAATAGTTCTGAAGTGAAACATGTCATTATTTTTTAAATCTAAAAACATTAAGAAAATCTGTATTTTTTGTAATTGACGGCAAGGTGTAGTCGAACAATTTTATTGAAAGCCAATTATGCCGAAAATGTTTCAACTCTTTAAAAATGAGATTATACTTGTTGATGCATAACCAACCAAAGAAAAATTACCTTAGTGCAACTGCTGGGTAAGCCATAATGTCGCGGTGACGCAGTCGTTAGGTGGCGTAATCGAATGGTATAAAATCCTTAGCTGATGGTTAGGTCTAAATCGTAATTGGAAAACCCGTGTGTCTCTTGTTCTACACAGAGCTGATCTATAAACGTCTATGTATGTACATACATTCGTTGCATAGTTGTTCATCTCACACTTTTCAGCTTTTATTGTAACCATATGTTTACTATTGTCAGAAAAGAATTGTAATTTCAAGCAAACCCAATGTTAGCAGCGTAATAACTATCCAATTAAGCTTAGATAAGTGTCTATTTTCGTTCACAGTAAGAACATACATCTGTTTTATTGTTTAGCATAAAATCCGATTGGTCAAGACTTGTACTAATGTATCTATTAGAGTTTATTCGTTACAATGCGGGTTTCAAAAAATTTGACCTGATTAATTAAAAAAAATTATAGTGGTTTTTATTTAATTAAAGCAAATGACATTAAGTAAAAATTATTGACTTTGTTTGAAAATTGCCATAGAATTCATGAAAGAAATAACTACATTAAATACGAGACATAAAATTCATGAAACGATAACGGAAGATATCTAACAGACCGACTGAAGAAATTAAATTTCCTTAACATAATACTCAAACCTCACTCAAACATGTAGTAAATCTGAGATCGTGTAATGAGTTGTACCGTATAATTTTATAAATATATATATATGGCTCGAGTTTTTCGACTCTTAGTTAATAATATAAGCTATTTTCAAGTGATATTAATAGCTCACGAGACTGTTTTGGATCGAGTTATTATAAAGCTTTCGAAAAAAATCAATAAACTAATCAAGCTTTTTAATCTTTTGTCTGAAATAAATATTTTTAAATAAAAACATTTTAAACATTAGTATAAAAATAGATCTATTTACCTCAATTACTTAAAGCAAATGAAAAGTAAAAAAGTATTAAACTAATTTTACAACTTGACTGTCAGTTAAGATACAATTCCAGCAATATTCATTTTGTAGCATTCTAAACTGCACAATGGAATGCCTGTCTTTGAACACGAATATTTTTTTGTATTAGAACAGAGTGGTACTCCACATATAGTTACTTTTGGTGGTTCCTTTCTGGAAAATAAAATAAAAATTATAAACTAATTATTAAAATAAAAATAAAACCTCTTATACATAGTAAAATTTCACCCTTTTTTATCAATTAATGGAAACAGTTCACCAAGTGGTAGTGATAATGAGCTGCCTTCTGAGTTATTTTTGTATGTAGTAATTGGAACTTGTCTCTTTGACACTTTACCCTTTGTAACAACTTTGGATGTCTTAGATTCTTGCTTTTTTAGTAACCTCTCCATAGTTTTTTTCTAAATATAAAATTTACCGTTACTCATATTACTTACAATTAATAAATTGTATAGTCCTACATACTTTATCTTTTTCTCTCTTTTCATCTGCCAGTTGTTTACGCTTTAAAGATTTTAAAGCTGCTTTCTGAATAGCTTCTGCAGTCATAACTTTTTCTTTGTAGCCAGTTGGCAAAGACATTAATTGTTCTATGCCTGAATTAGGTTCTGTATCTGTTTTACGTTCAAACATTGCTCTCTGCCTAGCAGTCATTAATTTGGGATCTTTGGGTTTAATTTTTTTCAGTTCATCGTCTACCTACAATGAAATACTTTGATTCAACATTGAAATATAATAATATTTAATTCATGACCTTACCTCTTCCAATTTACCGGATTCAATAGCATCCAACCACCTTTCTTCTTCACTACTGGTGCCACTATCTTTCCCACGATTAGTTTTAACAACTTTTTTCTTCACAGTTTTTGGTGAAAGTCCTGTGCTTGTACTGGCCATGTTGAGATTCGTTAGTTTGAAAATCTTTTCTTTCACTTTATCAGAGCTACAAAAATAATTAAATGTATATTTTGTTATCAATAACATATTTTTAATGAAATCATCAATTTATTATACCTCTTATCTTCTTCCTTCCTAATTCGCACTTTAAATGTTTTTTTTAAGTCAGAGTCCATAGAAACACCAATGTAATTTTCACCATCTTGCACAATTTTCTTTTTCTTGTGCTTCTTATGTTTATGTTTTTTATGCTTTTTTTGAGAAACTGCAATAGCAGAAGGGTCTAGAAAAAAAATTTCCAGTACAGTTATATCATTGAATTAGCTGAAAGGTCGAGCAAGACGAACACGAACTCCTTATAAAGAGGATTTTACTTGTGAAGTGCTGGTCCTGTCATTACTCTTCATTATTAAAGTTATGATTTCATTGTTTTATAAAGATTTTCTTTAATTTTGCAAGCAAACAACAAAACCAAAGAAAATCTCTAGAAAAAAGATTGTAATACTAGAATTTTATGATTTGAAAGGCATAAATACAAATTTACCTGTTAATAAATCATCGTCAGAACTGTCTTGTTTCATTTTTTTGATTTCATCATATATTCATTAACATATATAAAAAAAATTGACGCTTGAAAAACATCTAACAAATCTACTAATAAAAAAATGGATGGCCTAATATTTGACTATTGACTAAAAAGTTAAAAATTGATCATTCGCGTCAGCTGATTCAACTGTTTACGCAATAGCTCACCAGAGGGAATCATTGAATGAAGAATGGAAAAGTAACGTTTCAAATCTATTACAATGATTATAACATTTTACATAAAAGATGTATTAAATAAACGTATTTGTAATAAATAAATGTCAAATAAAACGATAAATTCTCACTAGATGATATTTATTAATTTCATGTTTTACAATATCATTTATCACACCGTAATATATTCAACGCAAATCGATGTTTTTAATTTTCTCGATTTTGGCACTTGCATTCTATAGTTAACCGACAATGTATATATATACTTATATACGTTGTAAATATCGTAATCATTAGATTTAAATATCTACAAGAACATGTCCACAATTACACAGACACAATGGAACAAGAGCTGTCGCTTCATTATAACCGTTGTATATAATTAGATTGTACTATTTTTAATTTAATTATTTATAGTCATAATATATAAGCAAACAAATTACAACCACCGTATTTCATTTACCATTACGTTTTTCAATCATATATCAAATTCAACAGTTTTTCCAGAAATGAAAATTTGAAATCAGTATTACAAAAACTGTAAATTTCCACAAAGTTTAATTGTCCAAGTCAAGTGTTTACTATTTTTAATTACTAGGTATATACCTATACATAAATGTCATGATTGCATAGATTATGTTTACAATACCCTGTCAAATTTAAGATAATTATGTTTCCATTCCAATATTCTTTCTATGCACACTTGATACTTTTATTATTATTATTTGTTAGTAATTTTATAATAAATAATAAAGTGGTTAAATTAGAATATATACAGATTTTATCATTCTTCAGTTATATTAGTCTTTATAATCAAATTAGTTTACAATGTTAATGCAATAAAAAGTTTTAGTGATAAAAATTACTAGTATCAATATAAAATAATTTGAATTTATTAACTTCAAATGTTATTGATTATCTGTACTGAATAATAGAAAACAACAAAGTACTCAATATATAAAGGTAAGAAATAGAACTATGCTTGAATAATATTAAATGTAAAATACAATTTTCAGTACAACATGTGAATATGCCATAAATATTTACAAAATATCATAACTAGTAAGTAGTATTTTGAAATATCATTTCAATGAAACGTTGTTTGAAGAAGGCAGTATTTCAATAATTTATTTAAAAAGTTCGTTTGGTTGCAAAATTATTTTCGTTATTTCCTTAAAATAATTTGAATTACAGACTGTCGATAGGTACATATATGTACAATATAAATATCAAAGACTTAATTAAATTTTAAATAAGAACGTTTAAGCTACCTATTTTTTCAGTGTATATCCTTTTGTTTTCGATGATATTACATAACTACTCAAAATAAAATAATGGTCGTTTTACATAAGTCACACTAAATATTAATAAATCCTTAATAGTTATAACTATGAAGAGGTAAATACTTTCAAATTATAAGTTTCAGTCGATTTTACATTAACAAAAACAACAATGATGATTTGCATGCTACAGCAATCCTTATCTAGTTTCTTTAATTCGCTATTAATTAACTACTGAATTTTTTTTTAAGAACTAAGCTATCGATATTTTTTTATTGGGATTTTTTAGTGGCATCTTTTATTAATTTTTAATTATTTTATGATGTTTAAATTTGGCACGTTATTGAAATTGATACCAATGCTCATAAAAAACTGCAAATCACTAGGTCATTTTTTTTCCTTTCTTAACTACATAATAATGTCAGGATCAAAAATTGAATGTTGTGTTAAAGTAAAATGTTGTTAGTGAAAAAATGAATTACTTTTCTGTTAAAGTACCAAATGAATGTAATAATATTTTAATCTTCAATGATCAACATTGATTATCACTCTAAAATTATTAATTAAAAAATTCTACAATTTTTACACTAATGTTAACTTGACAGAATGATTTGCATGAACTTACTCAACTAGCTAATTTTATCAAGAATAGATTAGCCTAATAAAAAAGATTAACAGTAGTATAGCAATAAAAATATTACATTTAATGGTTAATATAAGATAATGTACTGACCGAAAATTGACAGTTTTAATATCATCTACCTTGGTAAATAAAAAATAAAATGTGCTTTCATTAGGACTATGATTGTGTGAATTTGTTACTTCATATTTGACACTTTCAAGATCTATCGAAATATTGTTCAAATCTCAACTAGGCTTGCGAAAGTCGAGTGAAATAAAATAATTAACAACAAAAACGAAATAGGCTTAGTTAAGGTTCCAACCTTAAATTCTTAATATCTTGGTGAACACGTATCAATGCGGATCTGTTGGCCCGATTAAGATGTCGCATTACGTTTCGTATCGCAGGATAACTTGGTGAAGAGAAGATGGGTCAGTTAGTATTTTGCTTGTTGGAGCGAAGTCGGGCTAGTCCTGATCGTTCACCTTCCTCTTCGTCCGACGTGCAAGCTGGTGCACCACTCACAGCAGCTTTCGATGCTGACGACGTCGCTTGCATAAGCTCTTGATCTGGACCATTTCGATTTTCGTACAATAAGATATTTAGCGTTTCTTCGTAAATGCGGGCTTCAGGGAATTCAACCTGTGTGAATCATTTTTTCAAGAGTAATGTTATAAACGTCTAATGTTGGAAAATAACTGTGATATTAATTACCTTTGTATGCTTTTTATCAGTTGTATATACAATTGAATGACAACAAACTTCAGCCACTTTGCGGCCATGTCCATAGAATGTCCAACAACAAATTTCACTGGAGCCTATCACATCTTTAATGAATAAAACTCTACCACTAAATCTCAAAGACATTTTGTCGAATAGCTCTATATTTTTCAATAGGTTGTCATCTGAGGTACTGTTAAATAAAGACTAATTACCAATATATCGTTAATTTAGCATGAAACCTGTTTTTTATAAATTTTTCTGTTACGCTACCTTGTATATGAATATTTATTATTGTGCCTATTCACAAGCAACTTAACAACAGGTTTAGAAGTGTTGCTAATGAGTAATTGTTCCTCTTTTTGCGACGTTATGAGAGGTACTCTACAGATAGGATCAGTTTCTCTTTCCTTCTTTTGAAGAGCCTGCTCACATGATTCAGCCAACTCACTGATACAATAATACTTGGCCTCAGCAAGCAGTTCAGCCATTTCTTTTGTACTATCTGGTAGAGGAACACTACCATCTCTAAGAAAATTCAAAATTGTCCCAAAGTGTTTTCCACATCGATCTATCAGAATCCAGCCTAGATAACAAATTAAATTATTAAGTTGATGAGTCAAGCAAAGCAGTAATTCATTAAAAAGATAACTCGTTACCCTCAGAGTCTGTTAAAACTTCCATTCTGCCACTAAACATGGCGCGAAGCATTGTGTCATGCTTCCTGAGGGTACTGATGGTGGTGTAATGCAAAGAGCCACCAACGTTGAGCTTGACATATTCGGATGGGCATTTGATTCCTGGTTGAATGCCAGACATGACGAAGGACTCAACAAAGAATTGCGGATCAGCTGAGTCAATGAGTGTAGAAGTTAGCTGTGAAGATGAGGACGATGCTGATGATGAAATATCTATTTTCTCAAGTGCGAGACTCAACATTTAATCCATATGAACCCCCTGAGAGAGAGGTGGAATAAGAGGAAAAAACTGTTAAAGAACAGATTGGTGGGTGGGTACACACGTCGAGCAGAGGTAATTGAGGCCCTCTAGATGTATAGAATTCAAGTCGTCTCGATTAATTCCATCTCTATTGGTAGTTTTTCTCGCGCTTATTTTTTTCCTTTTTTTACGTGCGAGCAGCGCGTGAGCTGAGTCCAGTTGAACCTGTTAAAGAGCTTATTAGATACCAGTACACTACACGACTAAGTTGAGCTGATCTCAAGAATTGAACACGCATACGCGTATATGCGCGTGAAGTCAGATTTACACACTTACGTTTAGTATACATGAAAACGGCGCGCCCGTGATGTGTATTCTTTCGCTTCCTTCTCTTATCTGATAATTGTTTTGAAACAATCAGATCAGGGCTTAGCTGATAACTAGATTACGTATTTGCAATGAAAAGTAGACTTCTCCGTTGGTTCGTCCAGCGTGCGAAGCAGCCTTGTTGTATGTATGTATGTCGCGGTCTAGTGACCACAGTGAACGCGCAGTATATAACCCGTGAGCTGACATTTGCGCGGCTGTATTTGAACATTTCTTAAGCGATCTTTCTTTTATTTATCTTTCACAGATTGCGATAATATCACATAATTTATTAATGCGAATGCAATTACAGTGCAACATGAAAATTATTATGAATTGCTTATTATTTGGCGCTGATATAGCATTCTGCAAACGCTAGCGTGGGAAAAAAATTGTTGCCGAGTCAATCTCTATTTTTATGACGATGAAAAATTAATCGAAGCCGAAAAACCGTGCATGTTTCATTGTGTTTCAACCGTGCACGCCAAATCCTGCGCAGGTAAAATGTTTTGACTTTCGAGAGCTTAGTTACCACGATAGCAACCGAACAGTAAACATGGCAGATTCTTTGGAAAAGTACGGACTTCACTTGGACGATTTGTCGAAAATTCGCGTACTCGATCCGGAAGTCGCTCATCAGACGGATAAACTGCGAGAAGAATGCCAAAATTTTGTTGCGAGTAAGTGAAGTTGTTTATGAACAATTGTGTTTCGTAGAATCACTGAATATTATCGTTGTTATTGCAGGCTGATCTTCAATATTTTGTTACTTTTGTTAATTAGAGATTGGCGATTTTCACAAAGCCGCCGAAGAATTTATCAAAATCATGCATCATCTGGCGGAACAAGTTGAAAGGGAGAAGATGCGGGCGATTGGCCTTCGCAATCTAATGCACACCATGTCCAAAGAATCAGACGCGGAAAAACAGCGGTTAGAGGTAAATTCATCAAGCTTTTGCGATAAATCGACTTTCTCAGTAATTTTTCTTTTAGTTTCACAATCCATTGCAATTATTTTTAGGCAATGTTGCTGGAGAAAAATATGCAGCTGGATAGGTTGCGCATCGAATACGAGTCATTGAAGAAAATCGAACAAGAGCAATTGGAAACTATCGAGCATTTGACGTCCACTTAAACTGAATCCATCAGTTTTTCAATAAAAAAAAGTACCACTTTTATTTCGTTTCATGGCTACGTTATTTCATACTTAGAGAATATGAACGATTGTCTTATACCTGTTCAATAATCAATAGTTCGCTGTACCAATGATTGCCAAGTTAAAATAAAGCAGCACACATAGAATAATGATTAATACGATATTCATAAGATATTATTTTAGAGGTAGCTTCCTTTATCGTGTACACGCAATCGTCGAGCTGATAAAAGTACCCACAGCTTTTTTACATAGATCGAAAAATGAAATGCCTCGCTTACTTTCTTATATGCAACTTAAGTAACGTAACTAGACAGAATTCCATTCAAACTTATGAATTGGAAATAAAACAGAAATAAAACAATATTTCCTTATAAGAATAGTTTTAATCAAAATTTGTTAATTGTATATAAATACTAGAAAAGTCGTTTTCTGAGCAAATAAGTTATAATTACTAGAAATCTGTTAAAGCTTGATATTACTTTGCATAATATACACTTTGTACTGTAAGAACAGGGCAATTAGGTGTGTTTAAGCCTTACAAAATTATCATTGACTTTCGTGTTGAAACTTGCATATATAATTTAGCGTTTTTTCTTTGTATAAAAATTAAAGTTAGAAATAATGTTAATTTTGTTTCGCTTAGGTGAATAACAAAGACAATTCTGCCTGCATGAAAAATGATTAGTCTTAATTTGAGAATTTACAACAAAGTTTCCAGTCAATCTTCATTTATTGTTTATAACATTGTGACCAGGAATTAAAAAATTAACTTCGTTATTTGTTACAATAAAAATAAGAAATGATTTTGTTTCAAATTACAAATATAAATTCTACAAGCTAGTACCATAAATATTTACAATGAATAAGCCTAAAAGAGTGATAATACGATGATTTAAAAAAATGATAAGATTTCAATCAATAAGACTTAGTGTTCTTACGATTATTTGACGCGATTAGTAGATAACAACTGAAAAAAATATATAGGTGCAAAAATGAATTTACAAATTATGCAACCTCTAAGAAAAGTTGATGCGTCATATTAATTGATGCAGCAAATGGGGTAATCTAAAAAGTAATGTCAAACTGTTAAAATAATAATTTGTTCTATATATCCGTAAATAAAAGAGTTAATATTATTTATATGAAATTAAGAGGAAAATAATATCATCATTCAATTGCATTTTAACGTTGTAAAATTATCGTGTCGAAAAATTTGAACTTGTGTTTACAAAAACAAAGCTAAGCAAGTTTTAATTCAATAGATCTAAATATCCAAGTATAATCAAAGTAAGACTTGGCCAATATACGAATAATTTATTTTTGAGCAGAAAATTTTACTCGTAAAGATCGCTTACCTTTCGCGGCAGTTACTTTCAAATTTAAAAAAAATAATAAAAAATACTTGTATGCATACGAACTTGAAGTAGATAACAAGAACCACAGTAATTGAAAGAAGTATATCATCCGCATGTGCTCCTGATGTCAGTCAGTCCATCACCATTATTCAACGCTGATACATTCTTTTATACATAAAACTATAACATATGAAAATCGCTATGAATTTGAAGTAAATTCATAGCTTTACAAGTTTCATAATTTTACAAAAATTCACATTCAATGCAACGGCTCCTGTAGGGGTTCCAGTTCAAAGTCCTCAGCACGGATTAGATTCTGTTTTATGGCGCTTAATTCCTAAAAGGGCATCAACGAAGGATCTCCGAATCCTCTTCCTGCGTAAGTTGTTGAATTCCGTTGTGATATTTCCATCTTCATCGACTTTCTGCTTCTTGAATCGCACAATTATTGCCGTCATATTATCGCAGCCAGTTCCGTCACCGAGACTGTCCGGCGCCAGACAACGATTGAAAAGCTAAAAACAGTCGGATAAATAATTAAAAGTAGATAATATCCAATCGTCAAGATGATTTTTTATGTATAAAAATATTAAAATTAAAAACCTCTTCGCAAATTTGAGAAAGTTTCTCGCATCCCTCTTCTAGACGATGTCGTATGAAATCAACGACGCTCTCACTTGACATACAGTTCCATATACCGTCACATGCTAAAACCATAAACTCATCCTTCTCCGGATCTATCTGAATTGTTTTGACATCTGGTAATGCCGAAATCATTTGATCTTGAAGCGGCAGATCTGTGTTCTTTTTGTAAGCATGATCACCGAGCGCTCTAGATAAATTAAGTCCACCGTTTACTCTACCATCTAGGGTAACTCTTCCACCAGCCTTCGTGATACGCTCCAATTCTGGCTCATCTTCAGGCTTATGATCAAGACTTAATTCTATAGTTTTACCAGCTCGGGATAATACACATCGAGAATCACCGGCGTTAGCTACATACAATTCGTTCCCTTTGAGGAGAGCTACTACTGCGGTGCATCCACTACCAGAACCTGGCTGTACAACAGTTTTAATAACCAAATATTAATTTTTTTAGTCGTAGTATTTATTAATAAATGCAGGAATTTAACAAACCTCTTCATATAGAGCATTATTATCTTCATCATCCTCTTCCCCCTCTTCATTATCATTCTCATTTTCATTATCCACATACTCATCCTCCTCATCATCATCATCATCATCATCATCATCATCATCATCGTCGTCGTCGTCATCATCATCATCATCATCATCATCATCATCATTATCTAACTCATCAGATTGTTCATCATCTTCGTCGCTAGTAAAAATATACAGCACAATAAAATATTTTATAAATAATCATTTTTTAATAAATCTTGTGGATAGACAAATACCTTTCTTGTCCATCAAAACTTTCATCATTTTCATCGTCATCATCACTGCTCACTAAAGCAGCTCCTTGATTGTTTGTTATCAACGTATAATGCTTTGTAGATTCATTGTTCTTCTTATCGGTACTGCTAATTTTGTTGTGTTCTTCAGCTTCTCCATTTTCCAATGGTGTACAAGAACTGCTGCACTCATTGTCATTGGCAGCTTTGCTGCTATCTGCATCCTCAATACTTTTTAATGGCTTTTCTCCATTGACTTCCACTTCTCTTGGTGTACAGCTTACATCAGCTTCCTTACTCTCTTTACTTGGTGTTACTTTTTCATCAATATCTTCAGAACTGTCAGGCATTTCTGATAATTTTGCTGGTTCAGAATCTACAGAAGATCCAACTTGAGAAGGATGAGGAACATCACCGTTACTAGTAGTGGAATCCAGCACTTGATCCGCTTCACTACTGCCTGCACTTACATCAGTTTTTTGGTTTGCAGAGGAAGAAGGCAATGATTGACAAGGTTGACTGGAGCTACTAACATCAGTCTCATTGGTATTCCATGAAGATGATGAAGCTGACGAAGTGGAACAACCTGCTTGAGACAAAGAGTAAGCTCTTTGCCACCTAGGTGTTTCATTGGATTGGTCGGTTGCTGGTTTAGAACTTTTAGCCCGCTCATTCTGAGTATGTGGAACCATTACTTTGTGCAAATATTTGCGCATTACAGCTTCCAATGGCATGTTTGCTTCTTCATAGAGATTATCAATATTCTCTTCTTCATCTAATATAACACAAAAGAAAAGACTAAAGTTTACAGAAAAAATTTAATTCAATTGTACAATTTATAATGTATACCAGACTCAGTATTTAAAGTATTCTTCTTTCCAGCAAGCTCTTTGAGAATGTTTATCACTGGTGGAGTGGCAAGTGTCGCATCAAAACCTAAAAATGCATCGATTAGAGCTTGCTGCATGTTTCCTTGCTTATAGGCATCTGTGTTTTTGATAAATTTTGGTAGATGTTTGGCGCAATATTGGGCAACCTCATGCCCACCATGCCCATCATATACAGCAAAGAATGAGACATCTTCATCAAAGTTGATGCAACAGTTGTGGGCATCCTGCATAAATATATTTGTTGAAATGAATCTACGGACTATGTGCAAACACGAAATGATCATACAATTTCTCAATATATCAGACAAAATAGGAATTTCAGTTAATTCGCGGCTTGTAATCTACATTAATAATATCCCAGACAATGTGTCGCCGGTTTGATGGAAATGTGAAAAGAAAGGGCTGTGCGTCGGTTCAACAAGCGGTATAACCGTATCCCACGAAATGGAGCACAATTTGTGAGAGCGAGAGAGCGTAAAGGTGGCTACTTTGCCGGCAGGTACATGTAGCAGCAGCAGCAGCAGCAGCAGTAGCAGCAGCAACAAATAGCTCGATAAGCTCGCGCGAGAAGATAAATGTGACCAGCGGTTATTCGCAAGGAGAAAGAAAAGACGGCGATAGAGGAGATAGAGCTGAAATAGGTTCGAATTGCCGGGAGGCGGCAGCGGCTTAGAGCGTGTTACATACCTCTTGGGTCATGCGCCAGCCCTGCATGGAGCTGGCACCGTAGGCGAGGTTCTTGCCATCCTCATCGCTCGAGACTTTCTCGGTGTTCGGCTCGGACAGGTAGGCGCCCATTTTGAGACTCTATTCTCCGTAACTACGGATGGACTACGTGATGATGAACGAACGGAATCGGTGCGAATTATAACTCACTCACGCTCGCTCGCTCGCTCGCTCGCTCGCTCGCTCTCTCTCTCTCTCTCTCTCTCTCTCTCTCTCTCTCTTTCTCTCTCTCCCTCTCTCTCTCTCTCTCTCTCTCTCTCTCTCTCTCTCTCTTTCTCACTCTCACTCACACCGGCGCTCTGCTCCGCAGCACGCTGCCGAAGTGCCAACGACTGTTGGCGCGCGCAAATGTCTGTGTACTGGCCGCCGCGCACGCAGTATGCAATTGATGTACTAGCTCCGTCCTGCTCGCACTCGTTTGGACACGATCTTCGCCTGTCCCGCTTTTATGCACGCTACAACGTGAGGTTAGGTATCGTTCACAATGTTCACATGTCGGCGTTACGCCAAAAACAGCAGTTTCCTTTGTTTTTCCGATTTCTAGTTTTCGCGATAGTAGACGCAGAGCTTGTGACAATCAAGCGATGATTAAATTTGCAAAGAATCGCGAGAAAAACTTTCAGCTGCGACAAGCGCGTAGTTTTGTGAATGTGGCTTTTGCGAAGGTCTTTGAACGGAATGAAATCGGGACGGAACGAACAGCGAATTTGTTAAAACGAGGAACTTGGACGCTGTTGTACATCATTTTTGAATCCGTCAAATTGTGATTTTAAGTTACGCTCAAAATTATTATTTGAAAGTAAGGAATTGTGTACCTATTGCATTTACATATTAGTCTTATTCGTGATATAAAAATAGTAAGGCTCTATGTTATGTTTATTGTCACTGTGAAAAGGTTCGAGGCAAAATATTTGGTGTTGAAAAATGGACGAAAAGGTGTAAATTTTTAATTGAAACGAAAAACTTTGCAATGCATAAAATTGAATTTGAACCCATTTTATCTAAAAGAAACGATGAACTTTCACTTATTTCACGATGTATTGGAAAAATTATCCAAAAAATTAATTGAACCCACGATTGGTAAAATATACTAAGCTATTATACAATAGTAAATTTTAAATATTTTAAATACTGGTTATGGCCCAGTCATATATCAGTATGAGTAATACATTTAACGTCGTGTGTTTTTTCGTTGCCTCGTTGAAAATACCCGTGAACATTCTTCAAATTTAAATTTAACGGGTTTAATATTCTGATATTTAATTTCAATTGCCCGCATATTTCTTAATTTACAATGTACAAAAGATAAAAATGTATTGTCCTCCAATTTTATTCCGTTCACTTTCTTTCTTTTTCAACCAAATTTTATCACAATATTATAATTTCAGTATCATAGATACTTATAAAATTATTTCAAAACATAACCGCTTCTATTCTTAAAACTATTTATTTACGGTATATATCTATTTTTGCAGATTATTAACCATATTAATTATGAATTGAATTTACTGCTGAAATATAAATCTTCCATTGCTAAATATATAATAAAAATATATTTCAAAGCATACGAAAATTATAAATTTCGCGCTGTTTTTTAGTATCAACTAACAATAACATGTCGAGGACTTTTTATTTCATTTCTGCGTTTGATATCTATTTTAGTTTATAAAAGCGTTAAGGTTAACGCAATAATACTCTTCTCGGTGATGCGGATCGCAAGTCGACACCGGTGCAGTTTGATTTGCATACGTCACAGCACTAAGCAAGCAGAGACAAATCCTCAGTTTCTCTGTGAATCGGAGTTGACGTGTGTACACTTCTCAAATCTGACCGATCGCTCCGTGCGCGATTGACGCAGGCTCGGTAAAGCGAGCGTGCTTCAAATCTCGGCTCACACGCGTCGTATCGAAAAATCAAGCTAAATACATGCGCGAGAAAGGTGATTTCAGCCTCGCTTGGCCTCTTTGCAAACGTTCACGCGAGACTCAAATCCATTCACTATTCCGCACCTGATGGAATAATTGGTTTATTATTAAAATTGTTGTCAAATATCACTAACTTTCGTGCTCTATTAGCCCATTAGAAAACTGCACAATGTCAAATAACAACAAACAAAATGATTTCTCTTACGTCATTTTTGACAGTGAACCGTCACTATATAACATCAGGACTGAAAGTTGTAGTTAGTTATACATAAGAAGTTATGATTGCAAAAGTAAATATTTTTATTCGAAGTAAATCTTTGTTATACTCAGGTATATTGTAACAATAATGTCATAATTGAAATCGAACGTACAACTGGCACATCATTCTACCATTTCATTAGATTGAATATATTTGTCATGGCGCAGCTTTCGAATGAACTTGATTCTTAAACATTTTAAAACTGAATGAGAATAGTGAAATATACAGAACTGTTGGTAACTATGGTTTCACGACGGCAGGCCGTATTTTATTATTATTTTTAAATTATTCTTTTAATTAAAATACGAGATTTAAACGAGATTTAATACGAAAATTAAAATACGACGAGAACCTTCTTTTTGCCTCAAGAAAAATTCTAAATTTCCATAAGGATAATTATTGCAACAAAAGGCCAACTTCAATTTTATTTTTTACGACAACTTGCAAAGTTTATGATGTGAAATAATTATGAATTATTCGTTGCGCTACTAATTTTATTGTAATAAATGTGTGCTTTACTACAACAGTATTTCAAGGTTTGGAGACTTGTTTGCATAACTCAACAGTTGATAAATGATAGCACAATGTTTGAAAAGACTATTTTCTAGCATTTATTTGAGAAAAATTACAGGAGAGGAAGAGCCAAAATTGATTGGCAGCGATTCGTCGGTCCATATTTATTTTTGCGGGTTTCGAAATTCGTGTGCGAGGCATCATGTTGATCATTCGTTAACATTGGCTTGATATGTAGTCGGAGGTCGGAGCGACCCCCGCCCACGACTCCGTGCATTCACCTTGCAATCGAACGCATCTCCGGAGTGGTGATTCCAACGCGATTCGAAGCGGCAGCCGCGCGGCAAGTCGCCAGCAACTACCTACCGTAGCGACAGCGAGTCGGGAACAGCTGCCTTTACTCCCACATCGGCAACTTGTGCGTGCTCACCTGTACCAACGGTAGCAACAGGCTCGCGCTCGTGTTGGCTTGTGCTCCAGCGCCAGTGGCTGAATCGAGCGCAACGAAGCGGAACTCGCTGGGACAAACCCACGAGTGAGAGAGCACCATCGCAAAACTGAAGACGTTTGGAAATAAGCGCAAAAATTTTCGTCTACCACTCGGACTGGCTTTTGCAACTGCAAACACGCTGCTTTTTTTCCCGCGTTTTCCACGAAAACGAAATGACGCGGATGAGCCAATTACTTTTGTTGTCTTTGTTAACAGAATGCAATTTATCTGTTGTTTTTTCAGCGGTTTTGGCCAATGTTCCGCTGAGTTCCGTTAGCCGCACAACAGTACATTAGCTAACCAGCGTGGGAAAGTAGATTCTCGTCCCGCGTGACATTTACGCCCGAGTGGCGCGAGGCTGCTGTACAGCCACTATTAAACTCGCGCGGTTCCCACCAAGACTTTTGTACAGTGTTCACAGCCAGTCGTACCGGGATCAAATGTCCCGTCGCAATGTCACGTAGGTCCTCCCAAGCTCCGTGATCCCCTTTAGGTTAACGATGACAACATGGCGGGAAGCCACTGTGCGTGCGCGCATGGAAAACCCCATGGGATTGATTGCGACACTGCCAGGGCCAGCCTGTGCCTTCGCGTTTCTTTGTCACGTTGTTCGCGCCGAGGCCCAAGGAGAGCAGGCGAAACTACCGAACCAGCGCCGAGCCAATTCCAGGGGAAAAGTGTAGCGTTGAATCTACTGAAACTAGCCGACTGCAATTGAAAGCATGGCGAGCCGTCAAGGAGGAAGGAGCGCTGGAAAGAGTTTCGCTTCGGACCGTCGTGCGTCCGTGAGAGTTCGAAGCTGTTTCCGTTCCAGGACTGCACCCAGTATCCCGAGACAATAACGCGCGGGTGCTCCGATTAGCAGTTTCGCGCGCGAACAGCGCCGAGCAGTCGATCGATTCCGCCTCGAGGACGAGGCAAGGCCGGGTTTTCCTCCCGCTGCGCCTAGCGAAGTGGCTTCAGCTACGAAACCACTCGCGGCCGATCGCCTCCGATTACGCAAATCGACGCGGCCGGTCGGCGGAACGACGAAGCGGACAGCCACGTAATATGCGACTCGGTCCACGACGACGGCCCCCCGTTGGACGCGCGCTTCGCTTTCCGCAGCGATCGATCTCTCGGCCGCGCGTCTTCGATCCGCTTGGCCGAGACGCGCTCGTCAAGGCTGCAAGCCGGGGGACGCCTCGGCGTCGAGATCGCAGTCCCGCCGAACGCGGACCGAGGTCACTTGGCCGAGCGAGCGTCCCGCCGCGGCAAGTAGTAACGCTCGAGCTGCAGTCAGCCGCGGGGCCGCCGATCTGTTCTCGCTGGGAGCGAAGCGTGCCAGTGGGCTGCGCTACGCGGGCGCGCGCCTCCGCGATCGATGCGGCGGAGGTGCCTGCGCGGGCGCCGCTCTCAAGCCCTCCCCTCTCGGTCTCGCGTGCACTCCGGCGGGAGCTCATTTTTCTGCGGCTCGGAGGCTGCGGGTGCCCTTTTCTTCGGCGCTTCGTTGTCGTCGCGCTCGCGTCGCGGCTAATTCGCCTGCGTCCCTTTCGCTCGCCTCGCTCGACGCTGATTCTGTCTTATCGCCGACGCTTTGTGGGACGCGAGTCCATTGTTTCGCTCTCCTTTTTTTCGGGCACAATGGCTCCGCGCTCTCGCGAGCGCTTTTCGTTACCCTCTTTCGCTCTCTCTTTCTGCAATTGGCTGTCGTTGATTTGCTCGCTGCAATCAGGACTGGGCGCCCGGCGAAGAGTGCGCAAATTCGATCGCGAAACTTGAGAGCAATTTCATCGAGAATCAATGACCCTCGCGTCCACGATGAGTTGGACTTGCAAATTTCATGAATTTATTACCCCCCCCCCCCCCCCCCTCTCCTTGCACCGTTCGCGAAGGAACGTTTTTTCTCTTCTCATTTTTTGCAACGAGCCGACTCCTATTCATGGAAAGTTACCTATACCTTTTGTTTTTTTATTTGTTATTTTTAATGCAAATTTCTGCTGCCCGAAGCCCCGTGCAATTTTTTTTTTGTTTTTTCTTATTTTGTTTGCAGTGGAAACTTTGCGCTCCGAAATTTTTCACGAATGAGCTGCAGTTCAGCGCTGCGTTTTATGCCACAATTTCATTTTAGAAGTAAGCAGAATAGAAAAACAGTCGCTTATTTCGAGCCGGATAACTTCGCACTCGGCATTTTTTCGCGCCGTCGTGGCATTTCATTATGCTCGCCGAAACAAAGTTACTCTGCAACGAGAACAAGGGGATCCCCGAGTTTCGACGATAACAGCAAAATGCAAGAGTCGCATGTATTAGCGACCTACATCCGCCTGGACAATTGCAAACGGATGAAGAGAAGGGTTGCATCTTATCCGTCCGCAGCTTAATGACAGTATCTCGAGGCAAGAAAAATTTCCGTGACTGGTCTCTAATTATTTGCCTCCACGGCGGTGGCTGCTGCGCCGCCGTCGGCGGCGTCTCTTTAATCCCACTTGT